TCTCTGCAACAAAACAAGGCAAATGCAATTTCATGTCATTAAGTCAACAGGAGAGAGAGAGAGGCCCACAAATGTTTCCATTAAGCAAGATATACTAACTGAAAATGATTTGTATAGGTTTGTTCACTATTAATTAAATAAATATTACATAACACATTAAATAACATTATTGGTTTCTTAAAATAATTGTAGCAATTTTTGACCCTCTAAAGTGATTATAAAGAAGTAAAACCTTTTTAATAAATTAACTTATGAGAAATTATTCAAATTACTATTTCACCATGGGAGGCTATCAGTTATGTAAGATTTAAGGAGTTTCAGTATTTAAGTATCTCTCTTTTGTGTGTTCTTGACCTCACCCAATGAAATTACAGATCTCATTATTTACAGCTCTCTTCCTTCTTCGTGCCTATACCCAGGTAGCTGAATATTGCTGGAGAAAAACACACAAATATGCTTCCTGGCCTCCCTTTGAACATGCATAAAGGAGACCCTTAAGGCTTCCTGGCAGTACTACTACATTTCCCAAGTCCATGTACTTTCCCTAGCTATTTTATAGCTACTTTTCATCAGTTATCCAACACCTCCTCTCTCATCCTCATTATCAGCTTCCTAATTCACTGAGAAAAAAAGTAACCAGAAAATAACTTCTCAGTGTTCCCATCATCACAACCACCCAACCTCCTGAATCTGTGCCCATATTCCCTGCTGTCTCTAATAGTGAATTTATTCCTAAGGCAAACCCCTCTGTAAATGTTCTAGATCATTCCACTCTCACCTGGTCAAGATGTTGCTCTAGCGAATATTCCTTTTCAAAATCAAACAAGCATGATGTTCTATTTTCCATATTTTAAAAATCCACTTTAACCCTGCCCTTTTGTCTAGCTACCATCCTATTTCTTGGCTCTCCCTTACAGTCCTCCCTGCAGTCCTCAATAGTTGCCTCTACTCACACTCCTTGTTTATACTTTCTCGCCTCCTATTCGTTTTAAAACTCACTACAATTAAGCTTTGGTATCCACCACTTCCTAAAACTGCTGCTGTGAAACTTGTCAGTGATTTCTGAGTTGCTAAACCAAATGACATTTCCCTGTCCTCATTTGATTGGACTTACCTGCCACATTTGATGCAGATAATCACTCCCTCCCTCTTGAAATTATTTCTTCATTTGGCTGCAAGACACCTGGCTGCGTGGGGTTTTGTTCCAACCTTGCTTAGCCAACTTTCTCAGTCTGATTTGCTGATGTCTTTTCTTTTCCTAATTGGAGTTCCATGGAGCTCTGTTTGCTGTCTAAGCTCACTTTTAGGTAATCTCAGTAAGGCTCATGAATTAAAATATCAGCCATATACTATCGACCCCTCCATGCACAGCTCCAGCCCTGACCTCTGCCCAGAATTCCTGACAAACAAATCCAACAGCCTGCTCCTCGTCAAAAGCTTCACATGTCCAAAACCAAACTCCTGATTTTATCCTGCTAAATGTACTCCAACTACATTTTTTCTTAGTGAATGACATTTCTAAATTATTAGGTCAAGAACTTTGGAGTCATCCTTAATTCTCTTTCTTTCATGCCCCAGATCCAATCAGTAAACAAATCATGCCAGTTTTGCCTTCAAGAACTGGCCACTTCTTAAAACATGCTAACGTACTTAAATGATTGCAATAATTTTATCCTTTCAAACTCATTGAGATTTTTAGAAACTCCTGTAAGTCACAACAAGTGTCATGACTATGGTTTGTAATAAAAATGTGTATAATTCAAATTTAGTTGAACAAAAACGTAAATACAAAATAGGAAATGGTTTTCTTGAGTGATTGATAAATGACCCTGAAAACCAATTCTTAAATAATAGTTTTCAAAATAATTTGCTCTAGAGCAACATAATGAAATGAGTATTTAACTTACCAAATTATCACTTATAAGGATAATATTCATTTGGTTTTATAGGTTTTGAATTATTATTTAAAATTCATCTTCATGATTATAATCACAATTTATATTAAGATATTGTGAATAATAGGAAAGCTTATTGCTCTATAATGTTGATAAAATACTGGCTCTACCATTTTCTAGCTATGTTATCACAAACAAGTTTCTTACACTCTCTGTGCTTCAATTTCCTCATCTGTCAATGGAATAATAAGAGTGCTTACCACTGGATTTCCTAGTAGGCTCAAATAAGATCATATACTTGAAGTGCTTAGAATTAGTGCCTGGCATGGAGTCAAGGCAGGCACTGTGCTAGGAATGAGAGTTCTATGGGAGAGTCTGTTAGTAGAAGCCCTCAGGGAATTTAGGCGTTCATAGAATATTTGACAGGTGAAAGACGTTGCAAGGTTTCAGGAATTGGTGAAGACAACTATAAAAGAGACATCTGAAGGCAACATGTATTACTAATCTACAAAGTGAGAGAACTAGCCAACAAATGCTGTAGATATTAAAGTGGGAGAGAAAGATCACCTCCACCACCAGCGGTTTAAAATGATTTATGGTGAAATGCTTGCTTTTTTAATGCCCAATTTCAATGATAATAAAATCAAGATCTATACCCAGAAAGCACTAATTTTGGCTTACAAAGCAGAAACATAGGGTTTTATACCAAATACTGATGCAGAGCTTAGATTACATGATATAAGAGAAACTCTTCTGAAATACAAATACCTATTTACGTGTGTACAGGAAAAACACAAATTGATATTGTTCCCACTACTCACTGATTTATTGCACTGTTGATCACTTTGTTTTTATGTGCATTTAGTTTAAATTTACTATAGGAAGTATTAATTATGTATCACTGTGAACACTTCTTCTTCCTGGTACAATCGTACATTTATTGAAGAGAAATTTAATCAACAAATAGTAACAGCTGATCATTGTGATTTCATTATCCGTGCCTTTCAAATACAGACATGCTTTCCTGAAGTATAACTAATCTTCCTTAACCCTAGGACTGTGAAGTTATGCATATAAGGAGACAAAGTTATTTCAAAGTTCAACCCCAGGAAAGGGAGAAAGAAGATCTAAAACCTTTACCTTTTCTCCCCTCTAGTTGGCCCGCCACAATAAACTATTGCAACAGATGCTCAAACCAGGATTGGATCCAGATGAAGGAGATGAAGCCTTAAAGTATTATGCCAACCACACTGCACAGATTGAGGTAACCATCTATTATTTATTGAAAGGTACCAACTGTGAAAAGATATGCTTACTTTCTATTTTAGACCATTTTCATTATTTTTTTTCTAGAGCAATGAAGCAGAATTGAGTGGTTTAAACTGAAAAATATATAGTAAAAGGATGAGTGAGGAATGATTTATAGGAAACTAAGGTGTACATCTTTCAAAATTGTCTCTTTTTTACTAAAACCACATGTAAAATTTCTTTTGCAATTAATAGACTTTTTTTTTTTTTATTTTTTACCATAGAAGCAATCAATCATTGCAAAGTAATAGTGTTTGAGAGATGGGATTATTATAATAGAAGCCATCATTCAGAAAAATGTTTCTTTTTAAAAAAATTGTAGAAGGCTTATTAAAATAGATATCTCCAAGTATTCACAAGTGGAGAAAACATGAAAGAAACTAATAAAGTTTCCATATTGATAGCATAATCTTGGAAAGGTTTAATGGTTTCCATTTTCAGTATACAGAAATTGATCTCCCTCTACCCTCATAAAAGGGACATTATTTAATGGTTGGTGGCAGTTCAGGAGGTGTGGGTCAAAATGGACCTATCATTTTGTGTTCTGAGACTCATCTGGCAGTCACTTACTAGCTATGATATCATTTTGACACTGGTTGGCTGAGCTAATCAGGCAGAAGTGAGCAGAGTAGTTGACGCTTGTCACTCCTGTAATTTACATTTATACATTCATTCATTTTGGCAGATATTTTTTTACTTTTCAGTACAGTGCATGATGGGCATCACTGTATTCACTCTCAGGATATATAACCCCTACACTGTATTGTTTACTGCTGCCAAACCTTTGGAATAATGAGCATTATCACTTTGTGTCACAGAAATGGATACCTTGCTCACATTTGTAAACATTAATAGTACCACAGTTTTGGTGTTGGACTTGACTTAGTGGAACCCCTGAGCTGGACCAGAAGCAAAAACATTTCTATACAAATAGGAATAGGTCCTCAAACCATGAACGTCTTAAGGAAGATACCAGAAGTCAAAGTACAGAGCTAGGAGATCAGAAGAGACCAGGGAGTAGCAGATAGAGTGATCAAGCCATGGAAAGAAGAAAGAGGTTTGGTTAATGTCTGCAAGAGATGGGAGCTGTTGCTTGATGTTGTCTTATTCACTCTAGCAGTGAGGAGAGATTTAGCTATAAATACACACATTCAGTAAATGTTTACTGAGCACTTACTCTACCAATTCACATATATAGAAGATAATTCTGTGTAATAAGTATATAAACAAAGGGCCAAGGAAATGTAGAGAAAATAATAATTAGTGGTGCCTGAGTGATTTCAGGATAGATTTCACAGAGGAAGTTACCTTTAAGAATGTATTAAAGATTGAGTACAAGTTTCTCCTTCAGGATGGGGATTTCAGAAAGAAGAAAGTAAGTAAAGGGAAGGTATTAAAGAACAGAGGAAGGAGATGACTATTTTTAAAAGATCAATCTGGTTGCTGTTTGGAGACAGGACTAGAAAAGAGAGTGGGATAGAAAACATACATAGATCAGATAGGAAGATATTATAATAGCAAATGTGAGAGATGATATCAAAGATGGCTGGACTGGAAAATACATAAAGATACATAGATACAGTTACACATATACA